ACGCCACCTGCTGGCAGAGAGTGCATCTGCGTCTCATTCAGGTCGTCTGCTGTTTCTGTTTCATGCAGATATTTTGTATGTATAGTTTCACAAAACTGAAGTCAAACCATTCTGTTTTTGCTTCAAATTTCGAAATTATACAATTTAATTTAGATTAAAAACTGCTCATGTTGCGTGTATGCAGCATCTTTGTTTGGATCATGATTAAAATGCAGTGGTTGCCTCTAATTTTAAATGGAAAGAGCACAGACAAAGCCTTATTTTGTTTATATGTAAAGATTTCTTTTATTTGTGTTACTTATTTATTTGATTTGGGGCTTGTTTTAAAATTTCAATTTAGTTTTGTTATTTACCTTTACATTATATTTAAATTTTGTCATTTAGCAGACACTTTTATCCAAAGCAACTTACAAATGAGGACAATAGAAGCAATCAAAATCAACAAAAGAGCAATAATATGCAAGTGCTATATTAGTATATTATTATAGTGTTATATTTCAATTTCATAAAGAAACGCACAGCATTTTGTCCAAGCAATAATAAAAGGACACATTTAATTCATAATTTGTCTTAAATCTCTTTTTGTAAAAAAAAAAAAATTGTGAATCGAACCAAAATCGTGAAATCAAAATCGTGAATTGAATAGAATCGTGAGTTGAGTGAATCATTTAGGCCTATATTATTTACTTGATTATTTTAAACAAAAGTTTAAACATACTTTATAACATATTTTATAACAGTTTATAACATATATGTTATTATATTATATTAATTGAATTGTATTGTATTATATTGTAAAATCCAAAAGCTGACAAATGTTGTTGTTGTTTTTTTAGCTAGTTTGTCCAGTCTTACTTACCAGTTTTATAATCTCTTCTGTATAATATTTATTTTGGATGTGGATGTTTCTCTGCTAACTGTCTATTCTCTCTGTTTCCTATGCTGTAGAGTATGCTCATAACTGCACCATCATGGGCTGCCAGTACAACTGTTCAGTGACACTGTCGGGTCCAAAGTGCTACTGCAGGAACGGCTATGAGGTGGGAGAAGATGGAAAGCAATGCAAAGGTGAGCTTTGAATGACTTTATGATCTTATTATTAAGTGATGACTGTAGAAGTATTGAACAGGAAACATGTGACTTTTTACCTTGTGGCTTTCTCTGTCAGACTTTAACGAGTGTGCAGTGTATGGGACTTGCAGTCAGACATGCACAAACACAGATGGCTCCTACACCTGCAGCTGTGTGGAGGGCTACTTGTCTCAACCAGACAACCGTTCCTGCAAGGCCAAGAACGGTAGGAAATGAACATAGTTTCTGCTGATCCTTTGTTCTTTTTGTCTTGCTCGCTGTGGTCAAATCCTTGTTTTCCCATTCTATGTTTAAGACCCTGTAGATCGGCATCCATACCTCCTCATAGCCAACTCCCAGAACATCCAAGCCACCTCTCTGAGCGGAGCCAATCCCATCTCCATCAACACCAAGCAGACCACCGCTATGGACTTTATCTACGCCCAGGAGACTGTGTGCTGGATCCACATGGGTGACTCACCTGCTGCCACCCAACTCAAGTGTGCCAAATTCCCCAATGCCAAGAGCTTCACAGAGGAGAAGACCATCAACATCTCCCTCAGCTTGCACCGTAAGTACCATGTTCTTAATTACATGAATGTCAGATGTCCGTTTGGGCAAGACGATCCAAAAAAAGCATGAACTTAAATTTATTTGTTAAGGCCGTCATGATTTACAGCAGGGTTGGGCAAATGGTGTCCGGTGGGCCACATACGGCCCGCACTTTCTTTTAGTGCAGCCCGCTGGATCACATTATACACAAGATTATCAATTTTAAAACATTTGAAAAGTAAGTCAAGGAAAGATTGCTTTTAGTTCATGATATTAATACTAACTCCAACCAGGAGAGGTCGCTAGTTTTCAGCCACTTCCCGTATTAATCAGCATAGTAGTATGTGCACTCTGTGAACGTTCACTAAAGCTGCGTCCCAAATGATGCACTACTCACTATGCACTTATACACTATGTACTTATGCACTATGTACTCAACCATGTTGTGTATGACTTATATAAGGTTATTTTGTCATTCATAATCGGAGTCTGATAGCCCCTCCCCCTTCGCTACATAATTAAAGCTTCAGTGTGAACGCACTACTTGCACTATTTATATTACAAAATGTCATAGATTAGTGCATAAGTATGCAATTTGGGACGCACCTTAACATTAGCAAAATAAATAAAAAAGTTGACAATGAAAATCGTATTTTCCAGTCAAGATGGTAAACAGATTATTTGTTTTAACAAGTTTAAGGGGATACCCATATGTTTGGATTGTTTGGAAACGTAAACTGTAATGAAAGATTTTAATTTAAATCACCATTACTCCACTGCTCACAAAGACGGTAGAGTTGCACTTGCCTCAAATTTGAAAGGTAAAATGCATTTTTTTTTCAAAATGCACGATATGTATGCACTGAATTATGTTCTTAGGGTTTCTTAAAGTCTTAAATTTAATTGTATCAAATTTAAAGGTGCTGTATGTAATTTTTTGACTGTACCAAAGCATAAAAACACCATAATATATTCACAGATATTTAGGAAACATGCCAAGTTGTTTCTCCGAAAAACAACGCTAAAGCCAGTTATTCTACTTTGAAAATGTGCATTCCGTGTCAGAATGTCTGTTTTTGTTTTTGTCTGTGTGATTCCACCCACTGCCAGTTTAACCAATAGTATTTCGACACCCCTGGGTTGCCAGAGAGCGGAAAACAGCGTATCGCAGCCATGGAAGCCAGCAAATGAACTGGGTCAGAGATTGCAGATTCTACCCGACCTAAAAAGCCTCGGCATCGATCTAAAAACCTCTAAGGCCAGAGGCATATTAAAATGAGGATAAATCAAATCATCAACTTACAGTGTAAAACTCACCGCCTTCCATTGTCAAATGCGCTCATTCCCGTTGCGTGTCCTCAATCTGACAACTCGCTGGAGCATCGCCTCTGAGGAGGAGGGGCGGGAGAAACAATATTTTGAATTTGGACTGCAGTACCCATTTCAACCGCCAGCTGTCAATATTAACCAATAGTATTTCGACACCCCTGGGTTGCCAGAGAGCGGAAAACAGCGTATCGCAGCCATGGAAGCCAGCAAATGAACTGGGTCAGAGGTTGCAGATTCTACCCGACCTAAAAAGCCTCGGCATCGATCTAAAAACCTCTAAGACCAGAGGCATATTAAAATGAGGATAAATCAAATCATCAACTTACAGTGTAAAACTCACCGCCTTCCATTGTCAAATGCGCTCATTCCCGTTGCGTGTCCTCAATCTGACAACTCGCTGGAGCATCGCCTCTGAGGAGGAGGGGCGGGAGAAACAATATTTTGAATTTGGACTGCAGTACCCATTTCAACCGCCAGCTGTCAATATTACATACTGCACCTTTAAGGCCATTAAACTCTTAAATGGTACAAGAAAGTCTTAATTATGATTCCAATAGGTCTTATATTTGGGGACAGAAAGACAAGAATTGTGATCTGGCTTAATGGCTATGATTTCTTTGAATATGAGCGCTGCAGGTTTCAAAGTTAGGTGCTTTGTGTTCCGCCATTATTGGGGAATTTTTTTTATTTTTGCGGTTCCGAAAGACTGCTGGCAGAGAATGAATTTGCATTTTCAATAAGCCCGTCTGCTGTTTTTGTTTAGACCATATGCAAAAATTTACCCATATTTTTACGCAGCAAGTTATTTAATATTATTGATGATTAATAATTTAAATTAATAAAAAAATATATTTTTGACTTATCCCTTTTCTTAAAATTTTTCTTTCACTTTTTCTGTCCTCTTAGGCCTCTGTACAATTGAATTGGCATAACTGCACAAGTTTTATATTTAATAAATTTTTTTAAAACAAATTACATTGATTATACTTTGATTTCCTTTTGTAAAAAGGAAATTGAGTGAGATTGTGTAAAAGGTGTGTGGATGTGTATTAGTAATCTGGCCCCTTGGTATAAAGAAGAAATAATGCTGGCCCTCGACACTATCAAAGTTGCCCATCCCTGGTTTACAAGAAATAATTTGAGCTTCCTTGTTTGGGTTGTATCTGTGGTTACAGATTTTTGCTGCCAAATGAATAGTTCATCCATAAACAGAAGTTAATAAAGGTTCTGTCATTCCTTTCACTACCATTCAGAAGTTTGGGGTGCATGAGATTTTTTAAAAATATTTTTGAAAGAAACACTCGTGCTCAACAAGGCTGCATTTATTTGATCAAAAATACAATAAATCATTATTATTAAAGTTATTACAAAACTAAAACTACTAAATATTATTACAATTTAAAATAACTGTTTTCTGTTTAAATATATCTTAAAATGGAATTTATTCCTGTGATGGAAAAGCTGAATTTTCAGTAGCCATTACTCCAGTCTTCAGTGTCCCATGATCCTTCAGGAATCATTAGTGCTCAAGAAACTTTTTTTTTTAGCATTATCAATGCTGAAAACAGTTGTGCTGCTTAATATCTTTGTGGGTTCTTTGATTAATAGAAAGTTCAAAAGAACAGCATTTATTTAAAATATACATCTTTCATAACAATATAAAAGTCTTTACTGTCACTTTCGATCAATTTAATGTAGGCTAAACGAAAGTATCAACAACAAAAAAACGTACTGACCCGAAACTTTTAAACGGTAGTATAATTTCTTCAGAAGGAAAAATTTAGAGTGATTTGCTGGTTGCTGTTTCCCATGCAGTTACAGTAAATGGAAACCAAAGTGCTCAAACTGCCAAAACAATTTATTAATAGAACCGTGGCATGGAAGTATCACAAAAGCAGTCCATATGACTCTTGTGCTGTATACCAAGTGTTTGTGTGAGGAACAGACCAAGCTGGAGAACCAGACCCAGTCTGATTAATGATTTATGTCCGGTTTGAATGATTATATATATAAAACGATTAGGAAAATGATATACTAAAACTGGTAATTATTTCTTTTAAATTTTTCACAATTTATAATATTTATTTTCCATAATTTTAAATGCCTTTCACTACCATTCAGAAGTTTGGGGTGCATGAGATTTTTTAAAAATATTTTTGAAAGAAACACTCGTGCTCAACAAGGCTGCATTTATTTGATCAAAAATACAATAAATCATTATTATTAAAGTTATTACAAAACTAAAACTACTAAATATTATTACAATTTAAAATAACTGTTTTCTGTTTAAATATATCTTAAAATGGAATTTATTCCTGTGATGGAAAAGCTGAATTTTCAGTAGCCATTACTCCAGTCTTCAGTGTCCCATGATCCTTCAGGAATCATTAGTGCTCAAGAAACTTTTTTTTTTAGCATTATCAATGCTGAAAACAGTTGTGCTGCTTAATATCTTTGTGGGTTCTTTGATTAATAGAAAGTTCAAAAGAACAGCATTTATTTACAATATACATCTTTCATAACAATATAAAAGTCTTTACTGTCACTTTCGATCAATTTAATGTAGGCTAAACGAAAGTATCAACAACAAAAAAACGTACTGACCCGAAACTTTTAAACGGTAGTATAATTTCTTCAGAAGGAAAAATTTAGAGTGATTTGCTGGTTGCTGTTTTCCATGCAGTTACAGTAAATGGAAACCAAAGTGCTCAAACTGCCAAAACAATTTATTAATAGAACCGTGGCATGGAAGTATCACAAAAGCAGTCCATATGACTCTTGTGCTGTATACCAAGTGTTTGTGTGAGGAACAGACCAAGCTGGAGAACCAGACCCAGTCTGATTAATGATTTATGTCCGGTTTGAATGATTATATATATAAAACGATTAGGAAAATGATATACTAAAACTGGTAATTATTTCTTTTAAATTTTTCACAATTTATAATATTTATTTTCCATAATTTTAAATGGATCTGCAGTGTGATAATAGATTTTTTTTAATGATGTAGTCTTTTTATTTATATGAGGTAGGAATGGTTCATGATGGTTTGAATAGCTAGTATGTATTTTTTTATATAATATTTAGCTTTTTAAAAAATATATATTTTTAGTAACTGTACTTCAGTTGTTGTCCTGACAGTCTGTCCTGACTTTACTCTGCTTTGCTTTTTTTAAATTCATCCTGTTTAAGTCACTGCTGTTATAGCCGTACATGCAAGTGGACATCTTTAGATCTTTAGAGGAAAAATGCTTTACATTTACATTTACTCAAGACGTTAAAAATGCCCTCTTCTTAATCATGTTCTTGGCTTCAGAAGTTCAGACACATTTTTGCAGAGTGCAACATAGGTTTAAAAAAAGCTGATTGAATGCATAATATTTTTTGTTTGTTTGTTTTAAATAAAAGTAGCAGCAATGTTGTTTATAACAGTTCTAGATGGATTATATTAGTTCACACTGCAGGACATCTTCACAGAAGGATTTAATGTCACACATCTTATTCGTTTGTACAAAACTTTATTCTGTTAATGGTATAACCTTTAGACAATGACCCTAATGATTCACAGGATACTAAATACTGTGCTGATGTGCATGTTGTTGATAAGTGGTGGACGTTTCCTGGGATCGATGTGTCTTGAAAGCCAGCTCAGACTAAATATTGGCTGCTCTCTGATGAAGACGTTGCCAA